ACTGGAACAAGGGGCCTCACCATGTCAAACATTGTATAGTTGCCTTTATCTGTGACCCCAGGATGCACAAACCTAGAATATTATAACATTTGCATGTTAACCTGCAGAAGGATTATGCATCAGAAATGCTTAGCTTCAGCACGTACCTTCATGGTATGATGGAAAGGCACCTTGTATTATATAATATGCTATAACAATAAACTATAAAGCTATTTTATGTTGAGAATGCAATTTATATTAATTAAGTTTACACTCAATAATAACTTTATTCTAAACAGCACACTCACTTTTTCTGAAATGTTTCTATTCACATAAGAAAAGTATTTCTCAGAGAGAATAAGAGTTGACTACATTATGATACAATTTTTGCTTCTCTGGTGCACAATTTTCGCCTTCTTCACTTACCTGCCCCTTGACAACCAGATGATCTTAATACTTGAATCGTTTCTTTAAACAAGTCAGTGTCATGTTCTTTACAACATACATTTGTTATAACTTTGTAATATCCCTGAATTTTTCATTTTCAAAAGCTGTGCCTCTTGATGTAATACTTTCACCTTCCTGTTTCATTTTTGGGCATACTACATGCTGCACACTTAAATCTTATCTTAAAAATAAGACGACAGTAGTGACACTCTTAGAAACCAATCATGAAACAAATATGCAGTGCAGTGACCATGCACTGAGCCTTCTTAGCAAGCACCCCCTATGGTGTCTACTGACAAAGCTGATGCAGAATTCACTGTGGTATCTTCAGGGTCAGGAAGTATTCACTTCTGGCTGATGACAGAATGCTGTGTGAGCTGGCCTGTCCAAAATTTTGGCAAACTATACGAGGTGCGATCGGAAAGTTTCAAGACTGTCAATAGAGGGCGAACCGGATGTAGTACGAGCTTCTGCCGCTAGGGGTGCGGCCTACATTCATAGTGAACCAGTGTGCCAGCCGGCATCATCGAATTAGCATTTGTTTCTTAGTCACGGGCGTTTTGGTAGTGCATTACACCGACCCTCCTGCTATTTCGGAATGGCGGATTTTCATGAACAAATCAAATTTTGCCAAAGACTCGCCAAAACGGCTACGGAAACCTATGAAATGCTAAAGCAAGCATTTGGGGAGTCCGCAATGGGTCGTGCACAAACTTTTGTGTGGCATTCACGTTTTAAAAACGGCCGAACTTCTGTCGATGATGACGAGCGTTCTGGACGACCATCTTCGAGCACAACGCCCGAAAATGTTACCAAGATTCGGCAGGCCATTCACGAAGATCGACGTCGTACCATAACGACTTGTGCGACATTGTTGGGACCTGTCAGCTGATTCTAAAGGAAGAACTCCACATGCGAAACCAAGGCTCCTGTCTGAGGACCAGAAGCAGAATCGACTTCTCGTTTGTCAGGAGCTAAAAGATCTTGCAAGAACCGACCCCAACTTCCTTCCTAAGCTCCGTGTGACTTCTTCCTCTTCCCAAAGATGAAAATTCAGCTAAAGGGAAGGAGATTTGAGACGATAGAAGAGATTCAGACAGAATCGCAGATGGTGCTTGACAGGCTGACAAAGAAAGATTTCCAGGGATGCTTCCAGGCTTGGCAGCGGCGCTGGGATCGTTGTGTTCACTCCCAGGGGAACTACTTCGAGGATGATGGATGAATTTAATACCTGAGATAAGTGCACGGGTTTTTATACGCGCAGTCTGGAAACCTTCCAACTCAATACAAAATATTGGGAATATATTATGAAGATTACTTTCTTTCAGTATTTTCAGTATATGTCATAATCCATCAAAAAATTATGGAAATATCTCCTGATGTCTACTTTCTTTCAATAGCTTCAGTGTATGTCATAATCCAACGAGGAATTCATGAAGATCTATTTCACACAAAATTGGTGAGTACATTTATGACATCTGTATAACATGTTACATGCTTAACACCAATAACTCCTTAAAACCAAATTGAAGACCAAACAAGAATTTTATGTGGGCATCAGGTTATTTCAAATCATACAGAATATGACCTTCAGACACAATTTCATTTTTTTTTTAAAAAAAATTGTTTCTACATAACATTTCAAGACACCAAATTAAATGGTGCTACTTTCTCACATTGCAACTGTTGGTAGAAAATTAAAAAGTACTAAGTGCAGTGGCATAAAATTCATCAAATTTCATGAAAATAATTCAGCTAGATCAAAAGTTATTAAAAGGGGACAGCTACATGGGTATGGTGATACCAGAAGTCCCTCTTTCTTTATATCAGTATCCGGTATTAGACAATATGGTCCATTATAATTTCATGCCATGCCATGCAAAGATATATCCCTTTCACCATCATAATAATTAAGCACTTTATTAAACCATGTTAAAATTAATAGATTTCCATTCCTACAACAAACCCAAACACAATCTCTCCTGAGTGATGTTAATTAATCCATTATTATATTCCATAAAGTGGCAGCCATTACACAGAATGTGAATTTGTTTATGATGGTGGTTATATTGGACAGCTTCGATGATGGGTTAGGATATGGCATTGTGAGTAGTTGTCTCTGATGCATACTCACCTACAGCTGGAACCCCATGTGCACTGCCCACGGTTGTAGAAACGGCACACAGGTCGTGGTTCAGTCTCTTCAGGCCGGTTCTCCTCCTCATCTGTTAGTTCCCCCTCTTCAAGATCATCACCTTTAAGTTCCCCATCATCCTCACTCTTGTCCCCTCCCCCCTCACACTCCCCTTCCTCCTTCTCATCTTTGTCTACCTGCTCTTCTGCCTCAAAGTCTAGTTGTTCCATCTCCTCTACTGCTGCAGTACTCACACCCCCCTTCCATTCCCCCTGAGGTAACTTCTTCTTCTCCCTCTCTTCATCTGAAACTGCATCCAGACTATCCCGACCATCATTACTGTCTAAGTCTGACACATCAGACAGATCCTCCCCATGGCCTGGAATCTCATCTTTCTTTACTACCTTATCAGATATTTTCTCAACCTCCACTGGAGAACTTGGTCCATTTTCTTCCTTTTCCCTCTCTTCCACAACTGAAATTTCATCTTCTTGGCCAGGAGCCACAGGAGGGTAAATTGGATGCCCATTGGATGCAATTGAAGAAGCTGAAGATATACTGTCACTTTCACTACCAGACAACTCATTGCTGGACTTAGGGGATAATTCACCCTTCTCTGCAGGAGGTGGGGACTGGATAGGACTAGAGTCCCTGTCAAGTGGGGGTGAATATCTTACAGGACTAGAATCCCTATCTGTGGGAGGTAGAGACCTTATAGAACTAGAGTCCCTATCACCATCAACAGACTCGCCACTTTCGTCTCCACTCCCATCTCCCATTTCTGACTTAGCAGACATGGCTGCTGATGCATCATCATCATCATCTCTCCTAGACCGAGCAGCTACCTCGTGTTTAGTCTCAAAATCTCCATCCAAGGAGCTGTCAGAATCCATAATGAATTGCAGAACTGCCTGAAATCACAATTGTTTTATAAGGACAAGTAGCAAACTAACACCATTACACTTTGAGCATTCATAACTAATCATGTATCAATATATAGCAGTGATGTAGAAAGTGGTGAGTGTTTAATATAATCTGACAAAATAAACAAGATGAGAAAATTGGACAACAAAGACTTCGGTCATAATCCCTGCGAGTCGAATATTAAATTTACTGGAACGAAGTTTGACAGTTGAATTCTGGTCTCTTCTTCTGATCAATTATCAGATGAACGCTTTCTTACCTTGTGCTAGAGGCATAAGCTCCATAGTGGACTGGCATAATGTGGTTACCAGCTTTCCACATTGATAATGCAGAAACACTAGACAGTTTCCTACTATCTTCATTGTTTACCATTTTCGTAACTTCCGATGGACTGTTAACTAAGTCGTTACGTGTAAACTTTCAACACAACACAAAATTAATAAAACTGGAGTCTTCACATTTCTGAAAATAATACTAGTAGTACAAAGACATGACCTCTTTAGCACACGAATACTGAAAGGCCAACCCCGGCGAGAAAGATGCACTTCTCTTCGAAGTTCAATTGTGAACTTGTAACTGACCTTACCTTATCCTACACCACGTAGCCACAATCAATTTCACCTTGAGTACTTGTACAAACTTCAATAAAAGGAAAAATTAACGTATTTTCAATTATTTTAACACAGAAGGATAATGCCTTGCAGAAACACCTCGATTATTGGCTTCCCTTTTATGTTCTCCAATTGGTTGGCTCCATTGAACCAGCATGCATAGTAATATAAATAGTTGAAACTGACAGTATGACCAACCTAATAACAAATTTGTTCAATAAATGGCGGAAAATTAGAAAACGAAATGTTCTAAATTCATAATGAAGCGCAAAATGCAATTCAAAATTAAACAAGAATGAAGAACGCAATATAACGTATGTACATTGATATGTGAAATACGTTCTTGTACTTGTGTTGAAAGTTCTGAAGTGTATGTATATTGTATGAAATGACATGTTCTACATCCTTTGGTTGAGTCCTAAGAAGGATCTATGGAATGTAAATAAACTCTACTCTACTCTGCTAATACTTCAATTATCATAAGAAATTTCAGATAATATAAATCACACGCTAGTAAATGAGCACAAATATTCCCACAATCATAACCATAATCAAGTGCTCTACTACCCAGATCAGTTCTTGGCTTCCGCTATTTTCTGCAGTTTTAAAAAAAATGTTTCTTTTTCAGGGATAGGTTGTCAGCTTATTGCCCAACCCCCAACCTGGAGAACCAGTCCCCTGAATTTATATCCCCCCCAGGGGCTAGGTGACTGCCTATACCCCCACATACTGGGTAGCTCAGAAACACCACTTCCTGTTCTCCCACAAAAGCTAATGAAATTAATATTGACTGATTTCTGCAGCTTAAAAATAATCTGGCTATTGTACCATACCTGATAAACACTATTAAAGCCTCTGTTCTGATTAAACTGCCACATAAGTAATCATTTATCTTCTGTAATTTACCCAGTTAATTCCATCATGGTTTCTCAACTCCACCAGTCCACACAATATTTTTCTAATCAATCTCTTCAATTAACAGTTAGACACATATACTATTATTATACTTCAATCTCATAATACTCATTCTATATTCTATTAGAGGGTCTGTACATATCAAGCTGTCAAACCATATATCCCCTTATACCATATAATCTTGTGGAAGACATCTGTATATCCAATTTTAGTTTTATACCTCATATTTCTTCATATATTCCATAGGAGCCTCCAACAAATCTTCAACAGACTTACAAGCACACTAGCATGAACTCCTTACAACAATAGCAAATATGTGAATTACACTTGAAAATGTTATTCCTAATTTACTCCTAAATAAAAGTTATATTCTATATACATTTTTTATCTGATGTAATCTAATATTAAACTTTACCACTTAATTATGCACTGCAATAAACTTCAAAACAAATTTGATAATTAAAAATTAAAATTTGATTTTCACCATATGCCAAAACATGTGATGCAATGTTTAAATAATATACCTTAATGGTTTGATGGCAACTTCAATGTTTGCTGAAAGATAGGAACAACTTCAACATTCAACATTCAATGCCAAAGCTAAACAATAGTAAAAATGTTGATTGTGAACATTTCTAAGGTAGATTTCAATACTGATTATAAATAACGCTGAGGTGTTTCAATGTCATCTGTCAAATTTTCAACTACCATCTAATCAAAATTAATTTCCATAGATTGCACATAATTTGTACTTGTCTATTCATATTAAAATTTCATTTTTTCATTCTTAAAAAAATAATCAAAAGCCTACAGAATAACAGACACTTGTAATAACAAATAAAATTTACTCTATAACAAAATAGACTTTAACACAAAATGTTTGTTTTGACATAGATCAAAAATATGAGAACTGAGTTTATATCACATTACATAATCATGCAAGGATTACAATATCTCAGTCAAATGCTAACTCTGAACAACAGTAACTTCCCATAATTTAAAAATATCCTGAAACCAACAAGAACTTTTAGCCTGTTACACCTAGTGAGGTATACTGATTATCAAAAATAATTAACGACAAGGCTGTCCAGGCATTTGAAATGTCAAAATATTTCCTACAACTATAGTAAGTGATCTAAGAAACATAAGGAAAGGAAATATGAGGGGCATACAAGCAAAGCATGCTGTAAGACCAATTTCTTTCCTAAACACAAGAGACTCCTGTATCCTCAACATATTAATCTTTACATTTTGATATAATGGCTGCGTACTTCAACATCCAACAAGACCACATGTGATGACAGAACATTCTTAAGAGTAAAACATGTTTTTACATTAATTAATACAAATGTCTGACAATATGTAACAGCTGATTTATCATCTCCAGGTAACCTCCACAGCATCTGTGCGATACCTGGAACAAGTACAATTGCATTCAGATTAATTAGACTACCTTATGGCATTTATTCCCAAAACGTGTAATGGCTATACCAATACCAACATAACTCGGATTCTTATTCAAGTAGCTTAGTTTTCTCTTCATTTGATGTAAAAGTTATACTGCCATAACCTGGTCTAATGGAATTTTGGTAGTGGCATTTCCTCCACACTAGCCAAAAAGGTTATGTCAACTTAACTCAATATTCTTGAAGTAGATAGTTGCACTTACTACAGAAAACATACAATGTTTAAATTGCCATTACTCTGTCTTCTTAGTAGCATTTTCTGCAGACCAGATGTAATGGCTATTAACATATGGTCTGAACTTACAGAATTAGCTAGTGAATTTCCTTCTGTACATAATATAAATAATATATAATACATATTTTATACACACCAGATCATTAGTTTTTAGATATCGTTTTATCTTAATAGCCCAGGAGAAGGAATTTAGCAACTATGCGATATTCCAACAACTTCTCTCCCACAGTACAGTATTTCTGGCTTACCTCTCAATGTCATCTATATAATGTACTTCAACAACGTTGAAAATAACAGTTACATAGGATTTGGAAGAACCTAAATGGATGGGTTTCTCCATAAACTGCTTCTATGTGGGGAAAAGAGCAAGCAATTATTTTCCATAAATGTATTCTTGGGAATTTTCTCTATGCACTTCCAAACAGATGTGTTCTGAGTTGCTCTTATTACACTCTCTCTAGGCAGGTATGAAGAAACAGACATACGAGGCTCGTCCACAAAGTAAGTTTCCCTGGGGCCGTTTACAGAAACAAAACACAATTTCATGGAAATATTTATTGCAACAGATACAGCAAGTGTCCAGCTATTTTTCAACATATTCGCCACCGGAATTGAGACATTTGTCATACCGTGGGACCAACTTTGGAATCCCTGTGCTCATGACGTTAGGCCCATAGACCCGGCACAGCTGACGATGAATTTCGATCGGCGCTATGCTCTGTGCATTCAAAAACTTTATCACTGACCGCACTTCACAGTCGGCGGGAGCTGGAATAAGAAACTCCATCTTCAACGATGCTACTGTGAGAACGCGGGAAGTACCGTTAGTGCATGCGCCATGCTACGTCATTGCTCTATCACGTACGCACAGTCGCTTCGCGCAATATAAGGTTTGCTAGCTGTGGGACGAGTGGGAAACTTACTTTGTGGACACGCCTCGTATTCAAAATCCTTCTTAACCACAGCTGCCTAATTATAAAGTGAAATGATAATTTAAGTTTAAAAGAGTGAACATTTTATAAGTACCGGATCTACAATTTATGAGACACGGGGTGTGCTTGTATTGCATGGTCGACCGGCGCTCTGTTGATGTGGGCGGGAGTTGTGCGCGTTCTTCCAGTGGGTGAACACTGAATCAGTTTCAGTGCCGCTAGTAACAGCAAACTATGAATATTTCTCGTCACTAATACATGTTATTACATTAATTGTTCTTACCTTAAATCACAAAAGACGTTCAAAGTGACTTACTTGTGCTAGCAGGCAACTTCAAATCTCACATGTTAACGAGATTTGAAGGTTGCCTGCAAGCACAAGGAAGTCACTTTGAACATCTTTTGTGATTCAAGGTAAGAACAATTAATGTAATAACATGTATCAGTGACGAGAAATATTCGTAGTTCGCTGTTACTAGCGGCACTGAAACTGATTCGCCTGTGACTCATGGGAAGAACGTGCACAAGTCCCGCCCACATCAACAGAGCGTCGGCTGACCACGCAATGCAAGCACGCCCCGAGTCTCATAAATTGTAGACCCGGTAGTATTCGAGTGTAATATATTAATACTAGTAAGAGACAAACAGAGTGTTAGTGCTCATTAATGTGTATGAATAAAAGTAGTCCTCAGAGCATTCAGTCAATTTCCTAGAAGTGCAGCCCTAATCAAATATCCAGCTTTCATTCTTCTAGATTCTCACCCTCTGCCACATTCCCCTGCTCAGATATGCTCCCAAGAACATCTATATTCTCTCCTAATATTAGACAGAGCTATAGAACAGAGAATTTCATCCCCTCCTTGTTGCCAAAGCAAGGTTTCAGAAGAAAAAGTGCAAGCCACTTTCAAGACAAGGAGGAATAGTTGCACTCTGCGCAAGATATAACATCACCACTAGACTTCTGTAAATAGACAGTGGCATTTCCACCACACCAAATGTAATGGTTACACAACCATGATTACATAATCTACAATTAGGTAATGCATTACCTCCAATACAGACACAGTTATATCATCATGGATCAGTCAGCAATCTCATCTGTAAGCATGTAATGCAATGCATGAAGTAGTGTTTGATCATAAGTTAGGAGAGACTTTATGCAATGCCACTACTCACTACAGTCCTATGCTGTACCAAAGTTCTCACCTCTGGGTAACTGTTGTTTCATCCCACTTCGTCAAGTTACCAGTCCTGAACATTTCAAAACCAGCCTGGGCAATCATCACTCCATTATCAATGCAAAATCTCTCATCTGTTGCAAACAGCTTTGCTCCCCTCTCATGACACATAGTCTCCATCATTTCCTGCAGACGCAAATTACAACCAACACCACCAACAATGAGAACTTCTTGAGAGCCACAGTGAGCCATTGCTCGTTCTGCAATATCAAAGGACAACAACACAATGTCACAGTAGTGGTTTGATGATAGAAATAGTTATCAGACAATTTTAATGTGCATACTTCTTATGGCAGACAGATGGTGACAGTTGCAAGAGAATGGAAGCGCTATCCACAATGTTATGGAAAACCATGAAAACATAAGTCTGAAAAAGGTATGAGAACCTGCATAAAATGGGTCCTATGTTTTACAGCTCCACATGATACCCTCATCTAATGTAATTAGACAAAATCTTCCTGAACTAACAAACACTGCGTCCCTCAGATTTAAAAGCAACCTACCTGTGGTCTCTACCAGCATTGCAAATAGTACTTCTTGGAGAGAAAAACACAGGTCTTCTGGAGCGTATTCCCCACTCTTTAAAAGTTGATAACTTTGTTTCTCAATGTATGAGAGAATTCCAGAGAAAGATACATCCATCCCCTTTACGACATATGGCAGTGATAAAAACTTCTTGCCTCTGGAGAGTGAAAAACAAACATTAATATCCAATAGTAGCTAGAAGAAAAAACAAACAAACAGAAGTTCACAGTATTATCACATTGTAATGAGGCTACTTTAGTAAGTGAAAAAGTGCTGCACACTGCATGGAATAGACTTGAAAGTGGAATGAAAATCATATAAGATACTCAAAACTTCTCAGCGCACATCAAAATAACACACCAAGGACTCTTAGTGGATTCCTTTGAATACACAAAACTAGAACTTATAAATAACCACCAATTTTTTAATTCATCAATTTGGTCAACATTCTTTGCAGTCACTAAACATGTTTTAGGGCTGATTAACACAACACAAACTTTATCAAAGGTCTGCAAAACTGCACATACTTAATAGGTTATAAACAAGCAACAGTACACAAAATGTTATAATTAAGTAACACATGAATACACAACATGATACAGCAAAATAGTGAACTGACAGATCACTATCAGAAAAAACAGAGATATTTAAAATATGAATGTACTGGCAATCATTTAAATCTTACATGACATACATGATGATAACATATATATATTGTTTAAAATATGTTCAGTGACTACATAATGGTGATGAAGATGGTATAATAAGAAAGCCACAACTTCAAATTCCATAAGTGACCAACTGAGAGGAAATAAACCAATGAATTTCGTCTGACAAACAATGACAGCAGTAATATGAAGTACTAACTTCTTTGCCAGCTGTTCAATATTGTATCCTGGGCTGGGATCATTGGACAGTTTCAGCACCCTTGCAAACCTGTCCAGGCAGTTGCCTATGGCTATGTCAATTGTTTCCCCAAAGACTCTGTATCTGTTTCTAGAATAGGCAATCACTTGTGTGTTGCCACCACTGACATACAGCACTATTGGGTTATCACTTCCAGTTATCATCCTTCCCATTTCTATGTCTGCCAAATGTTAAGGATCTGTGTTGGTATCATGTCCTCTGTAAATGTTATTTGGATGATCATGATTATGTCCAAATCATGGGGATGAGATGGACAAAACAGGTAGCATCCATGTAGCTGCCATGTTGGGGAAATAAGTAATACAAAAATGAGTAGCTTCCAATGGCATATAACATTTAAAAAAACACAATTGTTAATTGGTTTATAAGTTATTAGCAAGTGACTAACATACACAGAGACACATATACACCTCCTTTCTGTAGACAGAAAACTAGACTGAAAAAAAGTGTCAGGAATTAGTTTACTGAAGGATACGTCCAATGCAGTGATTAACACCAATTATTGGTTTGTTCCAAAGCTGAGCAATTGTTCTTGCCACTATTGCCACTGTCTGGAGTGATGGTGCCATGCCAGGACCTTTGGTGTAACAAACTACATCAATCTGTTCTGGTGTAACTGCAGCTTCCCGCAACGCTTGTGACAGCACAGCAAGTACAAGAGACCGGTGATGCTGGGCTGTCTCCCTTGGCAAAAAACCTACACACATTTATTCCAAATCAACAGCACACATCTTTAACCTTTAACAGAATAATATGGTGTAGTGGTTATCACTCCTGATTCATACTCAGGAGATCTCCAGTTTGATTCTTGGCCATATTCTGACTTATGTTTCCAATTGTTTTCCTAGTCCCTCCAGGAAAATGCTGGGACAGTACCTTACAACACAGCAGGACCATTTCTTTCCAAATTCACCATTTATTACCTCTTCCACACTATGCAAACTATGCAGGATAATTAATAAAAAAACTCAGGCCTTTAAACCTTTTAGCATTTTATTCCAACAAAATTATGTGCATACTATCATAACATTATAGTTTATGTTCAAATTAGAAACCTCCTAGAAATACAAGTACAGAGCATTAATCACCCAACCTATTCAGTTGCACAGTGTCATATGGACATAAACTGATTCATGCCAAGATCAATTACTGCTACAGCTACATATAAGTAAGGAGCACTGTAAATAACAACTTGTCCTAATTATAATGGTGTGTAATAGCTGGAATATGCACACAACCATGTCCCTAAATTAGGCATCAGAATAATTGTTGGACAGCCTGAAAACACACTTTGTCTAACTCAGAGATGATTAAAATGTGGTATAAATGCTTTAGTAACAGTGTACACAACCTGTACATAACATGGTTAGGTACTCAGATGGAAAATGATAAGGTCGATAATGCAGTGGTAACAGTGCACACAACCTGCTAAACACTATGATGTACCTAATAAAGAATTCAGTAAAATGAAATATCCCCTGCTGCTCTTAATGTATTCATATATTGTATACAAGGAGCATTTAAATTAACTGGCTTAATAGCATAAAGATACAATGAATTTAAATGATGCAGCAAATAGTTCATGGTCATTAACTTAATGTTTCACACATTACAGTATATTTATGAACACAAAATTCTTTTGTTTTTCAATTCAGCCACTGCAAATTTATGACAGATATGTTTTATAGATATTATTTTACATAATTAACGAACTACTTATGATATTTCAATCAGCATTAGCAACTGACACACAGAATACAGTTTTGCTGAAGTATCATGTTATCATTTCTTGAAAAACAAGTGGTAATGTTTCTTGGGAGATACATCTGGAAGTATCTTACTATCTGACACCCAAAGCTAAAAACAGATAAATATGGTTTGCCACAAATTATGATTCACACAGCGAGCCTTATGCTATATGAGCATTACCTTCTCCAGGTGGAGTGATGTATGTCCGCCTGCAATTGGACAAGACCACTCCATTATGCACGATACCAATACCAAGTTTGTTGGCACTACCTTCAAATCCTATTGCAATTACCATCAAGAATGAGCTGCAAAGTAAGAACAAACATAAAACTAAATCTACCTACATTTCCCTGCCCCATACCAAAAGTAATTAATTTTAATACACACAGTCCAGAAACATTAACTTAATAATAAAATGTACTTTGGAAGTGAAAAGCAATGAAAGTAATATAAAATGTCTGAGAAACAGTGCAGTGACATATCAAGTGACAAGTTTAAATCAAATGGGCAAATCAGCAATGTAATCTAATAACTATCACCAATGTAAACATTTATTTAAAAACACCTCTCCAACCAAAGCTGGATAACAGGATGAAAAGGGGGTACTATGAACCGGAAAAGGAATCCAATACAGGACAGCTGTGGCCATGAAAACTGAAAAGCCAAGTGTGTTATTGGAGGAACAGTCCATTCTATTCCTACCCTGAATACACTTAACACAACACAGGTATGTCAAGAAATCAGTTTTATTTTTATAAATATCCTCTAATTCCAATAAGTGGACAAAACTTTGTACTTGGGACTTTAAAGTTGAATGCAAGACATAACACACGACTGACTTCCGCGATACTGTGCCTTGTGGTCTGCTCTAAGTTTACCGACGTTTCAGAGGGCGATGAATAAGCTGGGTGATAAATTGGTTTGATATAGGAACCAGCTAGACAAGGCAAAACCTTGGCCAGACCAGTGGGAAAGAGGCTGACAGCAAGGAAGCCAATGGGAGAAGGGTGGATCACACTGCAAATGCAACATCCCAAGACAGTCACCTTCAAACTCGCCGCCGTGAAAACGTGAAGTACACGTAACACACGCCCATGAGAAACCACAATCTACCTGATCCCAAGACTACGACTTACCTACACAAACTGAATTAAATAAGTATATTTGTTTTAACGTGTCGCATACTTGCACAATACATAACATATAAATCCTGTTTACTCTTGTATGCTACAAAATATCCATCACCACTGCTGTGCGCCTTAAAGACGTCACATTCGACATCTGTGAACGAATGCCTGAATTACTTACGCATAAAGCACAGATGACAGTGTAACTATAGCAGAGCGAATGTGTTGCTTATTCTGTATGTAGGTTAGTAAAGATTTAGGAGTGCTTCTTTTTCTACTGAGATGATTCATATTTCAGCGGAAGAAATATGGCAAGAAACTTGCCGCTTCTAAGGCCAAATGGGCACACTACCATTGTCTGCCATTACTAGTCTCCTTGGTGGCACAAATAAAATAATAAATTGGTAAATAAAAATAATGCTGTCGTCATAACCACTGTCGGATAAAGATGAAGTTTGTTCTGGGAGAGCATCCACACATGTCTTCATAAATCCTAGGATTTATGAATCATGCACTGCAGAGGAAATAACTATAAACCAATATAATAATATACACCAATATAATAATCTTCCACCAACAATTAAAAGTCTAAATTATGATATAAAGGTATTCAAGCCTGCATTGAAAGATTACCTCTTTACTCACTCCTTCTATTCTGTAGATGATTTCATCTCTGCTGAAAATGTTTAAGCTTTATATCCATAATCTACGTATATGTAAAGCAAGTTTTGTATTTATATTTAAAATTCTGAGGTTTATGTATATTAATTTGTAAAATTATTTTTCATACTTGTATTGCAGAATCTGAAATTTATGTACATTGATATGTGAAATACGTTCATGTACTTGTGTTGAAAGTTCTGAAGTGTATGTATATTGTATGAAATGACATGTTCTACATCCTTTGGTTGAGTCCTAAGAAGGATCTATGGAATGTAAATAAACTCTACTCTCTACTCTACTCTACTCCACCCTCATCAGCAAAACAAAACAAGACTACCCAAGGTGCATAATGAGAACGTTCTATTATGTTCGCCTGTAGAGTAGAGTAGAGTAGAGTAGATTTACGATACTACATCAGTTCACCAACATATTATTTGAGTATATACCCAAAAATTCAGTGGTCTTCATCCAGAAATTGCAGAATACTGCCATCCAGGTCAGTTTTGATGTGATCTTATTCACAAAGGCTCCATTGATGAATACAAAACTACTGGGGCAATATTTTGAGGCCAGTAAAATAGATCGGTTCTTACAAATTCACAACCTCAAATAAGCTGAGATGAGAAATTGTAAGAACAGTGGGAAATTCTGATACCAGATGGATTGTGCAATTGTGGCCAATCTATACATGAAGCACAAGCAACTGACACTAAATACAGTTCCACAGATGCTGCTTTACTGATACAAGTATGTCAGTGAAAATTTTGTAGCCTGGATCCATGTTAATTAAAGTGGATGTGCTGATAAAGAGAAAACCCAACAGCTTGCTGGAGCAGTCTACACACCCACACATACAGATCTCTATCTGCATTGAGTTTTCACAATCACATAAACATGCTGTTCTCCCCACACTTACTTGCTGTGTGAAGACCACATGTGACTCAGAAAGGCTGAATGGGGGGATATGCAACTTTATATGTATTGTATTATTATTATGACTTTTTCCACATCTTATTGTCATCTAACTATCTTATGGATCCATGGAATATAATAAAGATGTATGTATTGTAAGACCTTCGGTGAGAATGACTACAATACAGCAGACATCAACTAAGCATTATGCTCCAGACGGAAATCACATCTGCAATGGAAAAAACCAACTGAGGTGGCCACTACATCTTATATGCAGGCCATTTTTATTAAGATCACCAGAATCTCAAAGCAACTACTGCCAAATGTTCTTTCTGAATTTGTATTTTACTTATGTTTATCAGATCAAAAACAACAAATTAAATGAACCTAACCTGATACAGAATTCAGATTTGTTATGTAAATGGAACCTGTACAGGTATGCTCAAATACACGAAAAAATATGTTTTCAGTTGGCAATAAAATTACAAATGTCTTCTCCACCAATTGGCTACTGTACTGATCTTATGCCATACTACAAAATATTTGCAAGCTTTGATAAAACAGGTGTAACTGGTAATTTGTTTTTGACTTCAGGAACACCATAGTGTATAGGATATTAAATGGAGGTCTCAAAGAAAAAGAAATAAAATAACTTTTCCACAAATGGATCATTTAAATTATTGTGTATTTCTTCATACATTCACAAACAGTTGAGAGTAACATACACATTTAAACTGCAAAATATTCACCTGTGGACTTTAAAGTATAAGGAACATTTTATTGATGGCATCACACCTTGTAAATTATAACAAATCAGAAACATTTCCTTTGCTGAGGTTCTCATATTATTCTAAATCAATATAAATACACATACTTATGTACAAATAAAATAACTTTCTAACTTGTCATGGCCATTCATTATTACTTTGCTATTATTAACATCTTACATATGAAAAACTATGTATCCTATTTAGATATGCAATTGGTTTTAGCTTTGAATATATTGTTATTTGTCAGTGAAATTAAATGTTTCCAATTTTTGGAAATTTACACTGAACATATGTGGGAAATGAAAAGTTTCCATACAAATAAAATTCTTTTGCATTTAAAACTGTGCATGGAAAACTTGATATCATGAAGATGGCTGTATTGTGGCTTGTGCTGTGTAGTCTGGCAAAAGTTTACCAGAAGACAGCTATCTTGAAAACCTCAAATCATACAAGTTAATATCATGTTTCAAATGACATGAGAGTTACCACAGGAAGCATCAATCTCACCAGTAAACTAAACCCTGCCCATGTACTTTATTTATTGCCATTACCTCCGAATCTTAAACCACCAATGTTATAAAACAGCACAACCTCAATGAATAAGCATTAAAAGCATTTACCAGTGGCATAATGCATCTTAGGTTTTTAAGGTGTACGGGTTTCAATACCAGTAAATGGGTCTGTAACATGTCACTATACAAATGCAACGCTTGAAGATAGAATGATTCATGAATTTCATCATAACAGCAAAAGACAAGCTTTAGTATGGGTCCTCTTCATATTGGTTCTACAAACTACACAAGCTGCCAAGATATCTTTGCCCCAGATATACACTATGTAATATGTATAAATGAGAGAATTGTGGCCTCAAAATAAATAGCAAGAAATCCTGACGATCAAATACTGTGCATGATTTTGCAATCTCATAACAGATATATGTATGAGTTAAAAGAAAACCAGCCTCTAAACCTGTCATATGTCATGCTTGTGGGCTTAGCAGAAATCACATTGAGAGATCAACAGGCATGGAAAGAGTTAAAAATACCTCCTCAGATGCCATCCTTTGTAGTTATATGGGCTCAGTATAACAGATGAACCAAATAAATCAGTTGTAACACATCACTAATGCAAACTGGGAGATGATAAATCAATTTTACATTATTGCTGCATAATAACAATGTCTGTACCCTGGGGAAGAATCACTATAGCAAGAGGGGTCAGTCTTTAAAACATGTGATAATGATTGGCAGCCTTATTGGAATGTTATGAATGACAGAATAAGAACACTGAAGCTTGTAGCATTCAAAACATTTTCAACCACAGAACTGCCACTCAGCCATAAATTATATGAATACAATTCTCTATAATTACTTTCATTGTACAATTATTTTTATATTATCCAATGTTACACATTCAAATTAGGTATGAAATGAGATACAGCATAAGTCTGTTATTATGTGAGTTCACAACATTTGGAGAACGTGACATAACAAATAGTAGATATATGCAATTAAACATATGAAAAGGTAAAAATTGTCACCAGAATTAAAACAGATCATATAAATAGCATAAGATTTCTACACCAGTTTAATATGGAACAACATAACAGATCTGGGATCAACAGAAAATTAAAAAACATGCAAAATAAATAGCAAATAATCAAATTTCTTTCATATTACCATTTATACAGCATTATTTTATTTAAATTTGTAACATTTGTATATTCGTATATTCTACAGCACTGAAACACATATTGTGAACCATGGAACAAACATATCTGAATAGTGTGGCAGTAATATATTCTCTCTTGTCAAAGTTATGACAATATTCATATCGAGATATATCGACTGCAGTTATAAATAACACCTCGGCTGTCATGCTGCTGGATAGTACAATCATAACTTCCAATGCTTGTCTAGTGCTCTGTTATTTTCTTTCTCCATGAATATAAGGCTCTCAAAACTTTCTACAACAACAAACTTAAGAGGTCTGTTATATTAACTATCAAAATATAATTTGTGACAAAAAACATGCCACATGAAGAAGAGAATGCCAGGTATCTCATCCAATGCTCCTTTTCTCATGAGTGGGCCAGTAGTAGCAGAATGAAAGTAAATCCATGGTTAAATATCAATCAGTTAAAGAGAATGAGTATATTAATTTCATATTGTAGGGTGGACATATGCAAAGAGTAAAACCAAATGAAAAAGTCAAAATAAACATAATTTATTGGATGTGATTGGTGGTGTGTGTGTGTGGATGCACGCGCAGGGAAAGGTGTGATTCTGGAGAAAGAAAAATATTTAATTTAGCAACCAACAATCTGTGTTGTAATTTGTTCCAATAGACAAACTGCTGCATTATGCCCTTCACTTCCTCCATGAAGGAGAACGGAAAAAAGATCAGAACAAATGGGAGAAAAGTGAAATAAGCTACTATGTTGGTAGTTAAGATGACAGGCATATGCAAAGAAGTCAAAGAGCTGATCAAAACCATTAATCTATCATTAGCATGAGACATAGTACTGATATAGTATATTATGCAGGATTCTTACCACCATTCCACTGGACTTATGAATGCTACAGTTTTATATTTAAAATGTATTCATTTTCCTTTATATTGGTGGCAAACTACAAACTGATGTCTTTATGTGTGTTAATGTCTCTTCACCACGATCTTGAAACTTGGCCTACCTCACACACAGTTATCAGCCAAATGACACATACCCCTGAATTGTACCAGTGATAGTGACATATTGTTGGTGGGATACAACTGACTCAAAACAGCAGTAGCAACTAAGCCATGTTGACTTGTCATTACTGGCTAACTTTTACTTTTATTGCTTATTAGATCACAGGTACACTTTATGTAAAGTAGAAGCACTGTAGAGTACAGTCAGTAAAATGTGAGAGACATTTTGATGCATTCTGTATCCAGGCAAGAATTATTCCATCATAGCAGTACCAGTGTTTAGTTTAGAAATATTTTTAAAACAATAAACTGAATGCCTATCAATATAGTTACATTCATCACAGCTAATTACATACTAATAAAAAATAAGTAACAGTAGAAAGAGTATGATAGACGGCATATGTGTACAATACTGTCAAAAGACTTGGCAGTGCAGACATAGCCTGAATATGTAGTTGGGTTCAAACTTTAAAAAATGAAAGGTCAGTCTGATCAGAAATATAATTTTCAACCCCATCTTTTCAGGAAGATGCTTCAATGGCTGCAGATCAGCAACAATAAAACCAAGGATGAACTATAAAACCACAAAAGTTCTCAGATTAAATCAACATTTAAATATTCCTTTTCAAAGCATGCAGCACCTTAAAAAGCAATATACATATCCCATTGCCTGACCTACGATTGGAATATGTGGTCAAAAACATTCTGTCAATACCTTTAATTTTGCCTACATATCATTAATCAAGTCCTCAATCGAAGGAAATTGTATGCCCCTAAGATCTTTCTTCAATTCTGTAAAGAATGAAAAATTACAAGATGCCAAGTTTGGGCAATAGGATGTGATACAGTTCCGTTAATAAAATACAATTTGTCAACAGTAATGTGAATAAATGCAAATCAAGTTTTTCAAAACTCTTTAGTTCTTAAAACACAGTGACCTGATACATCACTTCACTGGGCATTATTAATCTGGGAATTAGTATCAACACAGCTGTTTCATCCATAAGTCAGTATGTACAGTGTGTCCGTAAAATAATGGTAGGGTAACAAACAGTCATAGTTTTGGAACAAAGCATGATAGAGACATGAAATAAACTTAAAAATAAAGAGAAACTCTCCAAGAATTTTACCTGTTCACTAGATTTTGATATGCGCTCCTTTAGTTGCCCTGAAGACATCAAGACTGCAATTCAGGTGTTACATAAAATTTATCCACAGGACAAAATTAAACAATTTGAATTTGCTACGGACATTCTGGATAGGTTAGATTATGATGGGGAATTTTTAGACAAGTTTATGTTCAGTGATGAGGCTACGTTTCATGTTTCGGGATGAGTCCATCAGCATAATGTTAGAATATGGGGTAATGAACCTCCATGTCATTATGGAACATCAACGTGATAGCCCAAAAGTTAATGTGTGGTGCGCAATTGGACGAGACAGAGTTATTGGCCCCTTCTTTTTTTGCTGAAGAAACTGTGATGGGAAAGAACTTCCTGGATATGTTAGAAGGGTATGCAGTGCCCCATATACCGGAGAATTTCATTCTCCAGTTAGATGGAACTCCACATTTTTCCACATTCATGCGGGATTACCTAAACCAAACATTTCCTCAGCGATGGGTCGGACGAGGAGGGTGGATAGCCTGGCCTCCACGCTCTCCAGATCTTACCCCTATGGATTTCTATTTGTGGGGTTATGTGAAGAAACAAGTGTTCTCTGTCCAAATAATAAATTTTGGCCATTTGAAAGAATGGATCACTGAAGCTGTTTCATCTAACACGTCGGATGTTCTTGGTCGTGTATTGCAAGAGCTTGAATATCGTCTTGATGTCTGCAGGGCAACTAAATGAGCGCATATCGAAATTTAGTGAACAGCTTGGAGAGTTTCTCTTTATTTTGAAGTTTATTTCATGTCTGTATCGTGCTTTGTTCCAAAACTGTAACTGTTTGTTACCCCACCATTATTTTACGGACACAGTGTATATTTAATATGCATTACCAACTTAAACTAATAACATATTGACAAGGTCATGAACAATAATGCAGCAGTTTTTCTTGAACAAAAACTGTAGCTGTGATCACTAAATCTTTGTTTTGGGAGGCTGAAGGCCAATTGTTTAATGTCTGATTGTCCACTAGAGACTCCCTGACACTAGCACATCACTATGTTCTCACCATAAGCATCCTGCGTCATATGGAATGTTTCTTTGGTATTTTTCTCAATCATATATGAAACCTGATAAACAATGTTGTTTCACAATTGATTTTATCTGTCCTTAGATTAGTGCAATTCAGTGTGTTTGCCTCTCATTGATGATTGCACCAACAATGGCTGAGGCTGTATCATATGACAGCTTAATGCCATCTACACACAAACTGCCATATCACCATTTCTCTCTTCTAAATTAGCTTCTCCTGTTCAGAATCTTATTACTTTTTGAACAGTTCTTGCAGTATTGTACAGTGGTGTTGATGATGAGAATGACAATATAAAGAAGAGAGGGAAGATGGAGGACAAAAGAGAACCAAACCAAGTTCTTACAATAGCCTGGCCATTATGTGTCACTACTGTCACTCTGTTACACATATTGGTAGTTTTCCTTAGCAGAGAGCAGCGGAACCTGCTCCACTGACTGTTTAATATCATAACGTGTCAGCCAGTCCGTATCATCAGGTTTCAACAGGCCAAAACATCGTACCTGAGTAAAGTCTATCAGGTTCTGGCAAAGTCCACGGTGGAATGGACTATGAGTTACTCCGCTCAGCCGACCAGAATTGTGGAAGTGTTTATATCGTCCGCTGTTCATTCGCTCATTGGTTGTCATGCCCAAACACATGATCTGAAATGGCTAATGAACATTACAAACCTATCTAATACATTAATATCATTTAAAGCTTTAATAAGGAAGTCAAACACAACCTAGCTAACCAACACTTTGGTAATCAAACCCAAAGATTCAATACCACTAATGCTAAAGTAAGCCGCCAGATACAAATTTCAGCCAGTTCAATCCTATTCACATCCTCATATTCCATTGCACTAAAATTCAGTTCAATATTTTCATCCCATCTCCTTCTCAGCTTTCAATGTGGTTTTCCTACCAAACTTATGTGTATATGACTTGGGTTTCCACATCAAACCTTTATGTTCAGACTTTATTTGACTATCCTAACAATACCAGGCAAATTGTATAAATTATAAGATACTTAGTTTTCAATTAGAGCCAGGATAGCTTAGTCAGTATAGTGACTAGCTATGGGCTGGACAACTGGGGTTCGATCCCCCACAGGGCACAGGATTTTAACTCTAGCCTCTGCATCCAGACAGGGTCTGAGGCCCACCCAGCCTCCTATCCAATTGGTACTGGGGTCCTTTCCCAGGGGTAAAATGTGGCTAGGGCATGATACTGGCCACTTATCCCCATCTAGTGCCGAGGTCAAGAATGAGTAGGAGCTATACTTCCTCTCCCTACAACCTACATGGCTGATTTACTTTAGTTTTTCAAATACTTGCAGCTCATGTTAAGATATCACATTTTAGAACCACACAAAACAAGTGGTAAAATGAGTTACATACAACTCATTCTAAAACTTTTTAAAAAGTGAAGGGATAAAAATGATATATGAAATGATACACATTATTCTGAATTTACACAAGGAGGCAAGTTATGAAACAGGTGAGCTGGAACTAACTATAAAGACACGCAGTGGGCTTCATTATGAGACAGTGAGACTTACCTGATACATCTGGCATGTGAATAGAGTGGCTACCCATGCAGCATGCAGTAGAGCATTTGCTGCTACCCAAGCCACCCAAGCATCACACACTGCAACGTCAGATAACCCTGCAAGTAGTGCACAAGAAACACCTTCAAATTTGAGAGGGCACTTCTACCTTCATATTTAACATACAATGGTCAGGTATTTTAAAAAGGTAAAGGTGCCCCTGTTCCTAAACATTATACCCAGAGCTGTCCCTAGAGACATGCAGGACCCAGGGTGAAGCATTCTATGTGAGGCCACTCCTTTAAATCTGTACAAAAGATAAAACCAGTAACCTCTAAATTTAATATTACTGGCATCAAGTTGTACATTAATTAAAGAGTGCATTTGTATCTCTGTTCTGGTATTACAGTGAAATTAATATATTTTAACATGCTTTAAAATACAATAGAGGAGCTAATAAATTACAGGTGAAACACCAAAAACCAAAGGACAACCTTAATCAAAATGGCTTACAAGAAATGAAAAGTATAGAAAAGGTACAGGCTAAGGTAAAAATAAAAAAAATTCAACAGATGTAACTGTTGAACGCTTTACATCCACCAACATACTGCTTAGTATAAAAAATTGTCAGAAGAGGAATAAGAAATTAACATGATTTATCCAAGTGACTGATGGTATTAAAAGCAATGGAAACTTTACAGATCAATATGTTAATAAAGCTCAGATAAATAACTAGAACAGTTAAATAATATATTTCTGTTAATTTTCAAAGTGATGTAACATTAAGCCTCACCTCTCCAGAAACCTTTTCCTAGTGAGGTGCCACACATGGTTTGCCAGAACAGCACACATCCATAGAGCATGAAGATGCACATGGCCAGCAGCATTATGAGATATCCCATGAAGAACCGATGGTTCTTAGCACCTGCAAACATTGATATGTGTGAAATCACGACTCATTTGTAGATAAAACCACTGCACCAAATAAACCTAACATATGCATGGTGCTAACCAAACTAACTTCATGATATAATGGCTTTCATGATTAGCTGATGAACCCCGGAGATGTAGACAGAATGTTCTTTCAAAACCTTATTTATCTACCTACAAGTCTGTATACTCTTACTATCCAGAAGACCAACATCAAGAAGCTGACAACTCAATAAAATCTTCTTGGGCAGTTTCATGCATGCAGTCATTCCACTCCATTCAATGAAACCACATATAATGTTTTCCTATGGGATGTTAAACATTTTAATTCAAGGAAATTTAAATATGAGACAATAAAAGTTGAGTCATTAGAAATTCATTGTTATATTATATTATGGTATTACCAATACAGTTACAGAATCCAAAACTACAATGGCTAAAATTACAAACCAATGCAGTTGCCAACCCATGGACAGTGATGATCAAACTTGGCAACACAGCGGTTACATACAGAGCAATGCTTCGAGCGAATAGGGCGTCGCACCAGACATGAACTACAGAACCACTGAGGTTCAAATCCACCACGTTCTGCCAGCTCTATTATTGTCTGTAAATACATAATTACAACAAAGAAATATGTTAGTGTAACACATTAACAAGAATATCCTGTCACTCCACTTGTTTTGTGTTCCTTGCACAATGCAGACAGTGTACAGGCATTCATCCACAAGTTTATCCATGAAACTAGCAAATGAATTCTGATGAAATTTGATATTGAAGGCCTATAATAAAAACTGTTGGCAGAATTTAATTTTTATTCATGTAAGTCCTATTAAGCCCCACTTTATAGCTCAAATAAAACTTTACTGATTTCATGATAAATGGCTCACAATGCAAAGTGTTAATACAGGACATAAAATGTAAATCTTATTAAAATTTAGAAAACTGGAACTGGTACACTTTCTAATATAATGCGTATTTCATAAATTACAAAGAAAAACAATTTCTGACTCTATGCAGTGTGATACATGTACTTTACAACAAATACACATCAAGGTCAATAAGTGTTCAAAAGAAGGAAGATATTAATTTGGAAAAAATATCCGCTCCATTTGAATATCCTTTTCCACCACTGTTATAAAATTTGTCACTACAACTGGCATGTGGGGCATGCACCAATCTCAAGTACTGTGGCTTGGAAGGAAGTAAAGAGGAGGAGGGAGGCAGCAAGGAAACACAAAACTTACAGTCATGCCAAAAGTATCATTGTGGAACATTGGTTTTTCACTGAATGCAAACTGTTCTGTTAAATGTACTTGCATTAAAGAATCAAGTATTCATGAAAACTGTATACTAATTTGTGAGCTTAGCTATATATCCATGCCTTTCTTCTACAACAGAAAACAAGTTTAAACAATATGGAAGAAATAGGTGTAAACTTGCAACGAAACAGTTCAGCTGCCAATCCTTCTATCATGGCTTCTGAACACACGGAGTTCCTGCTGTTTATCAGCAGACTTCTCTTGCACTGAATGGTCACTTGCAAAGATTAGAACTAACTCAGCCACCAATTCTACTGAAAAACACTTTAACAATGAACAAACTGAAAAACTTTTTGCCATGTGTGATCAGTGCTTTTAACAAGAAAAATGTATCATATTTTTTATTTTATACTACATTAAATAATTTTCAACTGTAACTAAAATTACGTCTAGACATCTTTTCAGTAATTAAGAATTTCTTACAAGAAGTTATACTGCAAAGGTACAAAGTGGATACAGACCCTGTATTTCTGTTCCTGAGTGCTGCACAGCACACCTGGGTCACCCCGCCATGCACACCCGAAGTTGTACCATAACACACCAGAGCATAACACAAAGACCACTGACAGCCACAGGTCCACATGTGGAGAGACCCACACAAACCATGTCACATACATCCAAAACTGAAATGCAACATCAAGACAAAATACATCAACACTTCAGCATACAAGCCATATTTGTGTCTCCTTGGAGATAATGCTGTGTCACATTTATTTTTACAAAGTTGTATTTAAAACTAGTATTCAAATTAAATTAGACATGCTTTTTCCAGAGATATGGAGGCCATAACATAAAACATTATAGATATTCTTCTGTATCTTCCCTACCACCGCCACGGTGGTCTAGCGGTCAGAACACTAGCCTTGTAAGCCTGGGGTACCGGGTTCAATTCCCGGTGGTGCTCAAATTTATAACTTGTGTTGGGCAAGGCCGTGGTCTAGGCATCACGGAGTTTTCCTCCGGGGGCTTCCCCGGTTTCTCCATGGCATCCCAACAATTACTCCACTCACACACAGAATAAGGCAATGGCAAACCACTTCTGATCAACTCTGCCAAGAATGTATATATGTATGAGCAGGTCCCTGACAACCTGAAGAGGTTGGAAGGATCCTGTTCATAATATATGGACCTGTCGTCAGACAGAACACTAGAAAAAAAAATCTTCCCTACCAAATGTTGCAGTTGAATTATGAATTATACTTTGTATTCAGGAGGTTCTAGGCTGGAAACTCAGACCAGAGATTGACTATCCTGACAGGATATTCATGAATTTCCTGTCATCATGCCAGACCCCTTGGATAGTGCCCTAAAATAATTCATAGTCACTTCCATCATTTCAATTTCATTAATTACAATCACCCTACCATTTTGACATAAGACAACCAATGCAACTGAAAAACATTGTTAATAAAACAAGAATCAGTCATCCATTTTTGCCTGAAGATTAATCCCATACTGAACAGCATTAATGTTTACTTGTTATATAAGTTTGATGAAAACATGCAATTGTAAATGCAAATGTTGATTATACATGAATGTACTGATGCATATTAAAGATAATATTATCAACACAACAAAGTAAGTTATCATGTATTAATCATATTAACTAGTGGCTAAGTGTAAAAATCTGATTTGCCATTAAAACTAAACAAAAATCTGTAGCATGTGTTACTGAGAATATTTGAAAGAGCTGTAGACATTAAAGTACCTTAGTAGCTAAATATATAGACATTGGCAGTAAGTTCATGAGCCTGTCATCAAACATGACCTGGCTTGCCATGTACAAAACAATATAGCAGGTTATAAGGAGTCCCATCTTGACTAGATAGTTCTGACTAGATTGCAGGATGATGCCCACTACATAGAATGCCAAGAATGGTGTTGACACCATGCACCAGAAACGCAGCCTCTGGAAAAAAACAGTCGGAGTTAGATCACAGTCAACAGACCTCAACTGAATACAGTAGATTCCAGTTAATTGGGCCATCAGTTAATCAGGGCAGCCATTTATTTGGGACAAATCTTAAAGAACAAACCTTTTTTACTCTTTACATGGAAATTCAATTCTAAAGGATTTTGACGACGGTAGTTTACACTTAAAATTATTCATTGTCAGGATTTTTTCCATCGTTTGTTATTTAACTCCTCACCGCCGAGAGGCGTAAAATTACGCCCGGCCTTTAAATGCTGGGGATTGCAGCTGGGCGTAATATTACGCCCGGCTTTAAGCCTAATTTCTTCAGCTCATAACTTTGTAACGATTAATGCCAGCGCAATGAGGTTTGTAGTACTCTGTTGTGGAAAGTTTTCTGTGTGTGAAGATCCGGCAAC